AGTTCCAGGTAGCCTGGAGCCACTTCAGCTGATTCTCCATTCTCCAAGCTGTCAGCAGACAGAGGCTGCAATCGGTGGGGTATGTTTTACAAGGAGAGCAAGGCTGGTGAACTTTAAGCACACACCCTCTCCAGCCAGCTTTCTTCTTTCCTCAGGATCAGACACCTGGGGGCAGGAGAGATGGCTCAGTGGTTAAGCGCACAGGCTGCTCTTGCAGAGGACCTGGGTTTGATTTCCAGCACCCACTCAGCCATAAACAACCGCCCATAACTCCAGTTTTAGAGACTCCAACACCCTCTCTGGCCTCTGCAGGCATTGCATGACACGGGTGCACGTACATGAAGGAAAAACACTTATAAAAATAAAAAATACATAGAAATAAATAATTTTTTTAAATCACAGATTCTGCTCGTAGACCTTGCCAACCAGAGGGTGTTAACTATTTAGCTGTGAATGTCAAAGTTGGATTTCCGAGTGGCTAAAAACACACAGCCGTGTGGGTGCCACTCCATTTTATAAAGATCTCGCCCTAATAGTTGCATCCTTTTACTTTGCCTGAAAATACCCCAAAACGTGGCAGTGTCCCGTGGAATCTATAGCACCAAGTTACAGAGTCACCCAGAAGAGTGGTTTGGAATGAACTTTTCCTTCCTCTCTGTTCCCATTTCTTTTTCACTTTTTCCTGGAAGTCCGACTCTATTTTTGCAAAGATCCTATTTTTAAATTACTGCAGTCAAAAACTAGCTACCAAATAAAAAGTCAGCTCACGTCACACTGTTGATTTTTTTTTTTTTCAGTCCTTTATCTGGTGGCTTGGATTAGGGTGCTGACATCATGAGACTCCGAGCGGGAAGGGACCTTCAAGGTCATCTCTCTAACTCCACCCAGTCAGGCATCCCACTGGGAACACCCTGGCCACTGGTCTTCTGGGGCGCTGGATCACTGCCCAGGACAGGGTGTTCACCACCCCCAAAAGGCAACTCACTCATTTTTCAGACAATTCTGATGGCGGGTAAATCCTTCCGCACATTGAACTGAAATCTCTTACTCTATAATTTCCACTCATGGATGGGGTGGTTTTCTCTTTTCCCACACAGGAACCTTTAAATATTTGAAGGCAGCCTTCACAGGCTACAAAGCTGAATTTATTCTTCAAATGTTCCCCGGCATGTCCTTCAATTAGCTTATAGGTGATCATTTTCTCTATTTTAGCATCTTGGCGGGTCTCTTTTAAGATATGGTACATTTCACTTTGTGTGTGTGTGTGTGTGTGTGTGTGTGTGTGTGCCTGCACATGGGTACACACACACACGTTTGCAGAAGTCAGAGGTTGGCACCTGGTGCCTGCCTCCATTGTCTCCACCTTATTTTTTAAGACAGGGTTCCTCTACTGAACCTCAGCTCATCAATTCAGCTAGACTAGGTAGCCAGCAAGCTGTGGGGCCACTGCCCCTTGCCCTGCTTGCCACCACAGGGCTAAGGTTACAGATGTTCGCTGCCATATCTAGCTTTTATGTAGCTGCTTAGGAGCCAAACTCAGGTCCTCTTGTTTGCATGATGATCACTTTACTCAATGAGCCCCCTCCCCAGCATATTTATTGAAGCAACATGTTAATAAGCATGTGAGCTTCTGAATCTCCTGCCCACTTTGTATGCTAAGCATCAGCTCACATATTCAGGAAAAAAAAAAAACCTAAGATTTAATAGGGTACATACAATTCATTATTTATGGGAGTAGCAAACAGAGAATTTAAACACAGGCCTGCCTCTTTTTACCCCACCATAGCCTTGAATTAAAAAAGCAATGTTAAGGCCAGGGGTGGTGGCACACACCTTTAATCTCAGCACTCAGGAGGCAGAGACAGGCAGATCTCTGTGAGTTCAAGGCCAGCCTGGTTTATATAGTGAGTTCCAGGAACCACACCTGTGATCCCAGCACTTGGGTATGGGAGCAGAAATTCAAGGTCATTCTCTCCTTGGCTACATAGTAAGATTGGGGCTAGCCTGGGCTATGGGTAACCTGGTCTCAAAAAGAGGAGGAAGGGAAGAGGAAGAAGCAAAGGGAGAGGAAGGATTTGCATTCATCTCTATTAATAATAAGCACAAGTTGTGGCAACAAAAAAATGTTAACCTACATGGGAGGGTTCATGTGGCAGACATTTTGTCTCTGGATTCTCCCTATGGAAGCATTGGAGAAAATGTATTTGGTGTCTAATAAATAAATGCTAGCATATCCAGGTAAAGGCATTGGGAGCTTTAAGACAGACTGGTCAAACAGAAAGGACTAGGCCCTGCCTGGGGCTCTGAGTTTAACTCTTTCACCTGTGGCTGTCTTGCCAGGTGACATTGGCTGGATCTACAGTGTTTTATAAACCTTGGTTCTATCTAGTGACGAACAGGGGCTTTGACTTCAAGCACCTTTGCACTCAACTCACGTGGGCCTACCCACAAAAACTGGTTTGAGCCAGGGTCTCCCGTATTGTATCTTAGGCTAGCCTTGAACTCCTTATGTAGCCAAGGATGACTTTGAACTTCTGATGCCCCTGCCTCCACCTTCAAAGCGCTGGGATTATAAATCTGCACCACCTTGCCTAGTTTACGCTGTGCTGGGGATGGAACCAAGGGCTGCATGCCCGCTAGGCAAGCACCCTACCAATTCAGCTTCATCCTCCAACTTCTCATGATAATTTGAAGGACAATGTTCTGCAGTCTTCTAAGGCAAAGTAGTAGTTATTTCATTGTGATGCCCATGATCCCAGTCAACCCTTTGGCACCTTCTCTGAGGGCCCAGTATAGCAACAGCTTCTATGAAGATGCCAGCAAGAGCAGTCCCAGACCCATGTGCTTAGACTGACACAAGCCATTCAGGCTCTCTCAAGTGACCGCTCTTGCTGTCTTCAACCCTCTTTTCTTGCTCCTCTTCTACCACCTGAGGCTTCTAGATAAAATACCTTCTGAATAGCCAGAATTGCCTCTTGCTTCCTGTTGTTCATACCTCTTTGCCTCCTATTTCAGATATCCTACAGAACTACCTTTGTACAACTTCGCTTCCTGAGCTAGTTATTTCCTTTCTGCTCAAATTTGCATTCATCTCTATTAATCACAAGCCAGGTTGTAGCGGCAGAAGGGATGTTAACTTGCACGGGAGGGTTCTTGTCAGAGGACTTTTCCCCATCCTCTCTCCCATTTCTCCCTACAGAAGCATCTTTTTCAGTCCTCCATTGTATTCCTGGCCGGTGCCTGGGATGTGGAAGGTGCTCAGTACATACTGCTGAGAAAGTGCATCTCTGACTTGGAGTGGTAAATAATGGAGAACAGGGACTGGGAGAGGTTATCCACAAGATATGAGGAACTAGACTAAAAGCACAGCACTCAGTAGGTCCTCAAAATATTCAGCCAATAAATAAATCCAGCAAAGTCACAGATAAAGAATGTGGGAAAATGTTATAGACATTGACCATCTTCTTGACAAACTTTCAGCTATAGATCGCATTCTGATGGCTAATTCAGGTTATTCAGATTACCCACATTCATTTGTTCCTTCTTTCATTCATAAATTCAACTAATATTGACCAAGAACAAGCAATGTGCCAGGCATTGTGTCAAGTGTTGTGGATTCAGAAATAAAACACCAATGTCTCATCAAATACGAGGTTAAACATAGAGACTGTTACTTCTTCATGTGCTAAGGGCTGTGGAAGGACTATTAGAGCTGCCATAAGCTCATAGACCCTAGGGTGCTTAGTGGAATGTAGACTGAACGCAGGGGGCATGTGTAAAATCAGGCTGTCATGAGTAATTGGGGAAAAAACTGAATGGTGGAATCTAGACAGAAGACATGGGTGTGCAGTAGAGCCCACATGCTGAAGAAGTGTCATTCAGTAATGTTGGACAGTCAGGTGGTGAGAGGTAAGGCTGGCAGGGTGCTGTAGAGCAGACCTTGAAAGGGTCACCTGCCCTCCCCCAGGCAATACTTGGCAAGATTTATTTCACCTGTCCACCGTTTGGGAACCTGATAAAGTCTGGTGAAGGGTTGGGAAATGTGCATTTCTCAGGAGCTCGTGATGCCAGATGCCATAGGCCCCTGGCTGCACTAAGGCAGCAGGACTATAAGCAGTGGGGTACAGTAGACACACTTCACTGAGGAGAGCCACACAGTCACAACTGCATTTTCCCAAGAACACCAAGGCCAAGTATAATGGCAAAAAATTACAAGACTGGAAACTAAGCAAGCTAGGGAAGAACATGTTTAATGAGTCGGCAGGCAGGAAAAAAGACTTCTCCCAGAGGAAAGGCTGATTATGAAGATGAAACGAAGCAACCAAGGCATAAGAACCCCACTTTAGAGAACATTATGGTCTCTCTAGGACTCATGTGGCACATCATCTGAAATTCCAGTTACATCCAACAAGAGCAGCCACAGGAAGGGGAAGGACCCTGCCTGAGAAGGATTTCCACACCACATGGGTGAAGCCAGGCTTCTTAGGCATTGTGTGATGTGTATTTCAGAAAACCTCATGGAAAGCAAGACAATTCTAGAAAACACCACCGAAGTCCTCCAGACCCCCAAACAACACGACTACTCTTTCGCCTAAAGAGCTAAAGGAAACATACCTGTCTCTATTACTCCTTAGCAAATCCTCTATCAACCTTGATACATCTCATCTCTTACCAAAAAGTTCAGAGTTCATAGTGGAAAAGAAAAGGTAGCTCTCAAATTCTTCTCCTGCCTTATGCAGAAGCCAGAACACACAACTTCTAATGGGATGTTTCCCTCCAAAGAAGATAAGAACCAGCTTCCTCTTTATGTACACTGCTGGGGGATATCCTCTGCCTCTTACAGTTTCTCCTCCAAGTCTTGGAAACCAGCAGGTCTCCACAAGACACAAAGGTTGAGCACAAGCAACCATGAAGGAGTGCTGTATGGACACCCCATTTACCTGCTTTAGAGACGCTTGACTCCATTCAACAAGACAAAAGACAGTAACACAGGCACCTACCTTTCTCTTCTGTGGTGAACAACCTCCTGAACTTTAATCCAGTACTGAAGATCTTACCCCCGAAACCTCTTAGGTGAGGTGAAATTTAAGGGTGTCCCATTCAATCAGGAAACCCAAGGAGGATAGAGTTTCACCAGACCAGGCTTCAGGGGCTCTGGGACTCTCACACTGGCCTGCAGACCTCAGGGCACAGAGGTAAACTATCACTGGCTGTTTCACCAGTGCAGGAAGAAGCCTGGAGGTGGGGGCGGAGGCTAGGGAAGGGAAGTAATCTGGAGACTGTAATAAATGAGAGATCTCTCAAAGCGATTTCCTGTATTTGGAGCCTCTTGCCTCTCTCCAGGCTCCCTGGAGAAAATCAGAAATGTAAGCTTCTCTTTTGACCACTGGGAAAGAAGAGGAAAATCACACTGAGGACTATGAAAATAAGAAACAGGAGACAGGCAGGGAGCTCACGGGCCAGCCAGCTTTATCTTTCTCCAAGTACTTTCCTCCTGAAGTTTCTCTAAGTGTTTAACTCTGCAAAAGTCAAGGATGCCCTTATCCTCCTCCACGGAGCTGAAACGTATTCTGGCCACAGTCCAGACAGAGCAGCCAGTGAGAAACAGGTCAGACAGAGCCTATTCAGAAAGGATTTCTTCCCTGGCCTCAGGAGAGACTATCTCTGCTGTATTTTTGGAAAGAGACACGAGATTGTGATTTCAATCTTGGGAAAACTCCTAACAGTTCTCAAGCCATTTTGTCCTAAGACTTAAAGAATTACCTGTCATCTACCAACCGTAGATTGCTGGGAGCCGAACTCTCTACAAAATCTGTAGAGCTCACGGTCAGCTGAAAATGTGAGGCACTCACTCAAAACTTTAAAAACTCAAGATGGCAGCCATAGAACATTAAGCCAAAGGTAGAGAAGGCTTATTATACTGAGCAAAGGGCTCAGTATAATTCTATAGGGTCCTGTCGATGAGGGAAATTAACCTAATGTGGACTAATAAACTATAACCTCAGTGTAACTGTTCTGTCATAGATGAGTAAGAAATAACAAATAGATTTGACAAGATCCTTATGTACTCCTAATAATAAGTATGCTTGTTGATATATGTAAAAATAATAGTGAGGACTTTGGAAGCTTCTCCTTGTATTCAAATCATAAAGGGCACTCTGCGTTCAGCTTCAGGCTGAATTAAGACAAGACAGACAACCACAAAAACCGCAGTCTGTGGGCGCCTTGGAAAAACGCTGCCTCTTGCAGAGGTCTTTCAGGAAGCACTGGCTACCATCTATCTTATTCGTTAAAATAGCTAAGACTGTACTGGCATCAGTATATTGCTAGGAAGTTAACCCCACACTGTCCCCAAATATCTGCTTCTTTGGAAAATTCTGACTGCTTCAATGTCCTATAATAACCTAAGGGGTACATACACGTCCGTGCTGGAAGTCTCAAATTCACCTATACAAACCCCATAGGTGTTTCTGATCAGCACCTCCAGTTTCTCTGGAGCAAGTTTTGCCCAGTCTGAGGCCTGTGAAGCCTACGTATAATAAAGAATAGCTTCCTCTGTATCCTGAGTATCGTTTGAGTCTTCTCAAAGGGCTACAGCAGTCAGTGGTTAGTTCCTGTAACACCAGGAAGCTGGTCCTAACTGTGGGAAGATGGTGGGCACTCTAGGGTGGATTGACTTTAAGAGGCTATCAATAAGTATAGACTACTCCGTCTTGCTTTGTGGGGTGATGACCAATTCTTAAAAAGCTAACCTCTCCTGCTTTACCTCAAAGCTCCCCTCCATCCGCCCGCCCTTTTTCATTCCCTCTATCCCTACCTCTCTTCACTTAGGATTACGCTGTGAAGAATGCCAGTTTCCTGCTCCCTAGTTCTCCTCTCTCACAGACTGGAGAGCCTCCTCTGATGCCCTGGCCCCTCCGGTATTCCTTCCTAGCAAACTATGCTTGTCTCCCTCACAGCACTCAAGCCAGGAAGCCTGTCTTCTGTCCCCTCTGTCTCTTGCTGGTCTTTCACTCTCTGAGGTGTGGACTTGATCTGTTTCATTATTGTATCTCCAGAGCCCAGGACCCAGCAATGTTTGAATTCTGTAAGTTGAAAGCTATTGGAAGAACATTATTAATTACAGGTATATATTGCCTTTAGAATAAAGAGGAAATATATATATGTATATATATATATATACATATATATGACTCAGAGCGACACATATATTTCTATGGATTACACTGACAGGGATACACACACACACAC